GCCTAGCGATAGCATCGGCCGCCTCGCGGGTCGCGTCGCAATTGTCGGATTTCAGACGATTGTCGGCAAACATGCAGGTCTACTTATAATTACAAGTTTTGTTACCCTTCAACCTCATGGTTACAAGTCCAGTACCACTGCAACTTCATGATTACAAGTTCCGAAGCCTAATCACTGCAAACGAATTCATTCCCATCCACTCACGTCAATGAGGCCATACTCCCAGTCCCCACCGGTACAGATGTACTGGTCCAGGTGGTTCCAGTTGTAGTTCTCCAGACGCTCGTTGCAGAAGTTTGTCCAGGACACGTCGTAGCTGAAGGAGTCGGGCGCCTTGAAGCGGTACCTGTACTCGTAGTGCAGCTGGGGCTGTGGGTGCCTGCGGGGGGCAAAAACCAGCAAAATATGCAATTCCGGTGATTGTATAGAATGTCGTTTGTACAGTCGAATCTGCTGTAAAAGCCACCTGTCCAAGACAAGGACTTAGGCAAATGATCACTTCCCACTCCCTCCCTTGTATTTTTTTTAAAAACATTGTGACCAGACGTCCACTTGTCTTAAACAACCATTTTTCTCTTTGACAATGGGTGGCCATCTCGGTCAATATTGTCCGTGCTTTTATTGGTACATGGAAAACCTCCATACACATCAAAGGAACATTTGGGACAAAGGAAAGTTCTGATTTGACATGATTTATCTTCAATAATTATGAACGCCAGACTACATAAAAACGAACATCAACTGGGACTGGTTTTGTCATAGAGTATGAAATGTCCTCTCAAATTCCCAGTTGTAAAATTCAGTTCAGTCCCAGGAAATTCAAGACAGTTTAGTTTTAGTGCTCGATTTTTACGGCACTTGTAACACGAACAGGTCATGTAAGTGCCAAAGATTAAAGGTATTACAAGAGAGTAACGAATAAAAAAAAAAGAGGAGCACTAATGATAATAGATGTTTGACAGGAAAGAAGGAGCAAACCTCACCAGAGCACCTGCTAACTACCCACCAAAAATTTTGAGACAGTTGGCAGCGAGCCTTCACTATCATGCACAATTGGTCGCTTTTAAGGACAAGTGGGCTAACCCAGATTTCGGGGACATCAAGAAATTTTGACCTACACCAAAAGTGGGCATTGTGCTACCTATTGGAGAAGTTTGGTTTCATTGGTGTGTATATATTTATTTGGTTATATTGGTGTGTATATATTTATTTGGTTATAGAGAAAACTCTCCTTTTCTTTTAAAGAAACGGAACAAGGGGCATAAACTTTACCTTCGATTTTCTCAAAACAGCATTTTTCAGGACAGCCTCCTTGTGCTTAAAAGCAACCAATTTATGTCTTGTCTTACCTTGGCCAATACCTGGTGACCCTCACAGTCTGTCCACTCAGCGTCACCTTGTGGTAGATGCGGCCGATGCTCATGTAGTATTCCTCCTGTATATAACAGGACACAAAGAATGGACATACTTTAGTTTTAGTAAGTGTTTTACGGCACTTGTAATGCAATAAGGTCATACAATTGAAAAAGATTAGGGTTGTTACACGAGAGTTACAAGTACAAAAAAGAAGGGAAGATAAGGATGACAGGAAAGGAGGGGAAAACCACATCAGAGCACCCTCCAAGACTTACTGTACAAAGGCCAAAAAAAAACATGTGAAACTTTCAGTACAGTAAGTCTTATTTATCTTTCTTCATCAACAAATACAGAAAAAAAGGAAGGCTATAAAGTGTTTGTGGGTTTGAGTATCTGAACTGTACAAATTTTTTAAGAACGAGTAAAAATTTCATGAACCAAAACCTATGACTTTTTAAAAAAAATTCAATCATTTAGAAATGGTCGCTTTTAAGGACAAGCGGGCTAACCCAGATTTCGAGGGTTTCCAAAAATCTTAACCTACACCAAAAGTGGACATTGCCCTACCTATAGGAGAAGTTTGGTTTCATCGGTGTGTATATTTGTTTGTTTATAGAGAAAACTCTCCTTGTCTTTTAAAGAAACTAAACAAAGGTCCAAAAACTTTACCTTCGATTTTCTCAAAACAGCATTTTTCAGGATAGCCCCCTTGTACTTAAAAGCATCCAAATAGTATATGAAAAATGTCAAATATGGTCTTTAAAAATGACAAAAACTGATAAACATAGAAAATAAACAACAACGAGACCTTAACAACGGCACCTTTAAAAAAACCTGCATATATGAAAACTGACAAGTTTTTGGTGGTTGTGACAAAAACAGTACACCGGCCATATATATATTCTATGTAAAAATGAAACTGCCATGACCACACATAACGTAGAGATGACGACCTGCAGAGGAACTTTACTTTAGTAAGCATTTTAAGGTACTTACAACACAATTAGGTCACAGAAATGCCGAAGATTAGAGGTATTACAAGAGATAAACAACAACAAAAAAGGAGAGATAACAATAATAGATGTTTGATAGGAAAGAAGGAACAAACCACAGATAGGAAAGAAGTAACAAACCACACCAAAGCACCCACCAATCACTCACAAATCTAAACTTTGATAGAGCCAGTCTTTATTTTTTTTAGAAAGAGGAAACTTCTCCTTACGAAACCCCCCCCAAAAAAAAATGAAAAGAAAAAGAAAGAAAGAGAGAGAAAAATCAAATCAATCCTGCACTTTCATTTTCAACAGAATGTCCCATGAACAGATAAGAGCTGAGCTGGCCAACACTTACATCGACAGCCCGGATACTGGGTCTCATGAAGCCCGAGGCTGAACTGTGAGGCTGCAAGTTGGTTTTGCCTGACTCAGACGTACGAGGCTTCTTCTTTGTGATCAGTTGAAAACCCTGTCAACGAGACCAAAACAGTGTTTAGTATAATTTTTGTAGGAGTTTAAAGATAAAGGCACAGAGTAACACAAAAAGAAATATTTTAGTTTTAAAAAGAGTTTTACAGAACTTGTAACACAATAAGGTCATATAAGTGCCGAAGATTAGAGGTGTTATAAGAGAGTAACAAATATAAAAAAGAAGGACAAGAGATCAGGACGATAGACGTTTGAAAGGAGTAAACCACACCGGAGCACCTGACAAACACCCACTACCAATATCAATATATTAATATATAATGAGAGGACAACATAGACCCTCAGCACACCACTGTCCAATACCACCCCTTGGGCAAAAGATAAGCCTCTATCTCTTCAACAACATGTCAGAAACAAAAGAATAAGTAAAATTAGAATAAAGAAATGAGCAGTGAGTGGAAAATAGTCCCAGAAGGACAGCAAAATGTTAAAGTGTGCACAACAAACTGATCTCACAACTCGGGGGGGGGGGGAACCCAGACACACCCAGCTATGCAAACAGACAGCTCTTTTAACTTACTCTGTGGGGATCCCAAAAAAAGTTGTGCTAACACAAATTTTTTGGGTGAACAATCTTTCAGTTTGTTGCTAAGCTAATAAATAGCTGCACTTACTTTTCCATTAATTTCAAAGACCATTTGCAGGAAACAGCCAATTTAAAAAACTGAAGTTTTTGGGCAGACTACATTTATTCAAAATGACAAATTCTCACCTGACCCAATCTCTGGGAGATGAGCTCCAAAAACACTTCATGTGTGTTGAGAGGGGCCCGGCGGTACACCAACAGGGTCTTGTCTTCATAGCTTGGTGACCTGGGGAGAAAAAAAAGTTTTCAGCCAAAGTACAAGATGGCACCTCTCTCTCTCTCTCTCTCTCTCTC